CCTCTCTCTCTAGAAAAATCAATGGGAAAAATTCATTAGGTCAGGATTAGCATCCAAAAGCAAGCGGTGGGAAGCTGTTTGCGAAGCCCGCGCCCCTGCCTTCCAGGTCTTCCAGTGCCTCATCATCGAGGGCGAGAACGCGGGGGAAGGGGCGCTGAGGGATGCCGAGCGCTTCGTCATCAGCAAGGAGGAGTTCCAGGACTTCTTAGACCGCCACAAGGAGGTGTCCTGCCTGGTGCCCGAGTGCAATGACAAGGTGGCCCGCAGCCCACGCTGTTCCCGTCACCCCTCCCCTTTCACACTGACCCCGACAGGGCCATCCTCCCCCAGGGCCCCGCAGTGGGGAGGAGCAGCGTGGGGCTGAGGCCACCAGCGGGCCTTCGGGTGAGCTCAGGGGGCCTCTCCGCCCGTGGGCACAGTGCCACCCTGGAGGGCTGGCGTGAAACGAGCTGCAATCTCTCTTCGGGTAACACAGACGCTGAGAGAGGGGGAGATTGGGTGCCTGGTGGGATCAGGCCCTGGGAACACTGGGTGATGAAGCGCAGGCTCTCCCGCAGGGAGAGGAAACAGGGAAACCCCCTGGAGGCTTCGTCGTCAGAGAGGCCTCGCAGTCGGGCTCCTGGGCACGGGGCAGGGAACCTGGCCCTGGTGACTCCGGTGGGGTCTGAAGGGACCCAGCCAGCTGCCCCTGGGGTGTGCCAGGTGGGGGAGGCTCACCTTATGGGCAACCTACCCAGAGACCCTCAGGAGGTGCTGGGCCCAGAGGTGATAAACACACACACACCCCGCACAGGGAGGACCCCGAGCGTGCACACGGAAACCACTTGACACTGACTTTGTATTTCATTTCTCTTCTGCAGATGAAGGACTCCTACCTTATTCTGGATGAATATGTGAGTATTTCGAATGAATTCTAAGATTCTCACTTAAAATGAATGAAGGGGCAATGCAGGGTCAAGTCACGAGCGTAGAGTTAAGCCCATATTTGTCTTTGGCCAGCATTTCACGTTCGATGGTCACTGAGCCGCATTCCTGTTATAGAGCCGGACCCCCTGCACCGAGGTCCGAGCCACACCCGTGGGCACGATTAGCTTGAACCGGGTCCTGGGTTTGCTCTAAGCGGCAGTGATGGGCTCTCCCGTGTGGCTGTGGGCCCATGGACGTCCCATCGGAGCTGACACGCCACAAAGCCATCCTCTGTTGTGCCATCCTGGGCTAGAGGTTCTCTGGGCACAGGGCTCCCAGGGGGCTTTGGAGGGAAGTCAGGTCACACGTCTCAGCACCTTCGACACCTCAGAGGCTGCAGCTCATCCTCTGGCTTGACGACCTTGGCGTCGGTGAGCGAGCGGAGGTGGCAGTTCCCTCCAGAGCCACCAGCCTTATCCCTGCCCTCACCCATTTCCAAAGAAAAGAAAGCCATCCTTCCCCAAATTGGAAAATATATCACTTTCCGTGTCCCCTTGTCCCTTTTGTGGGGAAGGGGGAATCTGGATTCATGAAACTTTGCCCTTATTTCTAGACCAGCACAAATAATTCCATTTGAAGACCTGTTTTTTTAAAAACATGAGTTCTAACAAGAACCATGACGTCAATATTTAGCTTGGATTTGATGTCCCCAGAGATGCTTAGTGTGACTTTTAGCATTTTATTGTTTATTGTTTTCAAGTACATCAACGATACTTCACAACCGTTTTGTTTTTTGTCTTTTTGGGGCATGGGGGGAAAGCTGAGGACACAGATGTTCAGTGTACGGGTCAGGGGGAGACCTGGATTCAAACAGAATGTATTTGTGGAGCCCAAATGGTCACCACTGGCTGAGGATCTCCACCAAAGTCCTCAACAAACTGTCCGGTCTTCACACAGTTGGAACAAACACGGTGGAGCCAGAATTTGCTTTAGGCAATTTAAGAACATTTTGACCCCACGAGCATCCCTGGAAGGGCCGTGGCCGCTCATAGAAGTGGGATGACCCCCTTCCCGTCCGTAAGGTGAAAGATTTAGGATAAAAGCTCGACCCTCAGCAGGGCTGGTCCGGCCCACCTGGTCCGCGGCCCCTGCCCTGCGGCTCCTTCCTTGTGATCCCCCCTCTCTCTCTCTAAAGAATCTCGCTTTCACCAAGGTTGACCCTTGGAGGTTCTCGCCGCACCGATTTCATCCCAGCAACTTCGTTCCCTGAGAGCCCCAAACACCCCGCCCCGCTCCCCGTGTCTCTGCTTTCACAGCTCGCTGCAGACGCCCCATTTTCCAAACCCTTTCCCGACCGCCAGCCCGCCCGCGGAGGGCCCGCACCCGGGGTGGCAGGTCTCCGGCCGTGCGCGTCCTGCGCTCGCCGATGGAGCGTGTTTGCCGGGGTCCGGGCGAGCTGCCTGGCGGGTGGCGCAGTGTCCGGGGGGCTCAGCATCCCGGGCACGGCATCTGGCCCACGGTTCTCAATAAACATTTACGGGAAGGGTTGCGAAGCCAAGAAAAAAAGATTAAACTCGAAAGCTGAGTTTTACAGGGTAAGTTACAGGGAAATATCCCAACTTCTGCCGTGTGTTTTCCAGATGCGCTTCCTGAACTGCAGGAAGGGGCGGAAGGACCCGTCCAAGTCCATCCTGGACGTGGGAGTGGAGGAGGCCATCAAGTTCAGCGGGTTTGACGAGCAGACGTTTCTGAAGAGGGGAGGCAAGTACGTCTGGAGCAAGGCCGACCTGAAGCTGGACTGGTAGGGCTGCCCGCCGGCCTCCCGGGCTCCCTCCCGCTGCGCCCGTCCCCATGTCGGACTCTGTTGCACACGGTAGCTGACATCTGTGGTCACCGAACACAGGACTCGGAGAGTTGAAATCCACGGTGACGCAGAACCATTCCCGTCAGTTAATTAGCTTACTTTAGTTTTAGTGTTTTTGAGCGCCATTTACTGGGACTCCTGCATTTCCTTTTCAGAGTTGGTTGTTTTTTTTTCTGGCTTGTGCATTTGATGGTTCTTTCTGGCTAAATATCGAGGTGTCAGTTTTCACATCGGGAAAGAACTGTAACCTGTCCCTCCCGGTCATTCCTGCCTGTGGTGACACCGCCTCCGTTTCTGCCCGTGTGCCGCTGGAACCTGGACTTCCTACCCGGGGGTGCAGAAGGGGTCGGCAGGTGTTTCAAAGTCTAAGAAATGGCTGTGTTATCAGCCTCCGGGGACGGCCCGGTGGGAGGCAGTCGCTTCCACCGACGATGCTGGGACCAGCCCAGGGCCATGCTGACCGCTCCCCGAATGCGAGCTCCCGCTCCCGCTCCCGCTCCTCCCTCTTCCGAGATTCTTAGCAAAACCAAGGTCCACGCTTCAGTTCATGTGGAAGCGGACCAGGGGTCAGGGTTTGGGTTGTAGGGTGAACCTGTTATTCAAGCCACACGAGTCCATCAAGCAGAAACTCGTGAGTCTGTCTGAGCAGATGGCTGTCCCCTCACCCAGGACTGGCCCGAGCTGGTGTCCAAAGCCCCGGGCCCGGGCGCAGGGGAGAGGGTGATGAAGCGCAGAGACTGTCCGTGGATCTTATGTAAATGAGGCTGTGCCCTGGTATCTTCTCGATTAACTCTGAGTTGCTTGAAATAAGACAGAGTCCAGGCCAGGATGACGGGGCCCAGGGCTTTCCCTTCTCTCACTCAGCGAGGGAGGGAAATTTCCTCTGAAACACAGTCAGGGACCAGCATCCTCTCCCTGTGGAAGCATCACGTGCCGTTTGTTTGTGTAACCGAGACAGTATCCCATGGCCTGTAAAATAATAGTTTCCTATCACTGTTTCTAAAAAAGCAAAATCATGGAAAATTTTTGGCTCAAGCAAAGAGCGAGCTATTTTAATCCAGCTGCCCCTCCACTGCCCGTCGCTAGGTGGCATCTGCCCGGCTGCTTCACCCACCTGGCAGAGCTTCAGCCCCTAATCCACTTTCAAGGCCTGCTGGTTTTGAAAGGTTTGCTCTTTGTGATGTTTTTTGTTTTTTCTCAGAAAAGATATTCCTACTTCAAATTTTAAATCATTATAATTCAACTGAAATATGTTTGTGTTCCACTGAGTTGTCATAAATTTTCTATAGGACCTTCAAACCACAGAATAAATACATAAGTAAATAAAACAGCTGTTGCCATAGGGGTCCTAAATGAACACAAGTGTTTTTTATGGGGAAGAAAAAAAAAAGAGAAAAATGAATTAGAAATTTTTTTTCTCCTGTGGATTTTGATAGTATCTAAGCTAGGATGATGTTGCTATAATCAGTATAAACATAAAACGGGTGTTTTTTTTTGTTGCTTTTTTTTTTAACTTAGCATGAGTATATTTTGCTGATCTTCACAGGATTCCACAAGAGTCAGCTCAGAAAGAAAGGGCAGGTATGTGGACGCACTGCAGGCATTGCCCGTATACAGCAGGTGCTCAATCGGTGTTCTCTGAAACAAGATCTGAGTCTAAACTCAAATCCTCTGATTTAAAGTGAATTTTTCTCCAGCTGAAGGAGACTGTTTCTCTTTCCCCAAAGGGCAATACAAAACAAAACAAAACAAAACAAAACAAAACAAATAGCTGGACTTCAGAAATAGGCTACAGGATTCTAGCTACATTTCCCGCTGGGGGATAGCACCACCCCTTCCCTGTGCACTCTCAGGATTTGCAAAGGCCCAATGTTTAACATATTCAAATCAGGGACTGGTTACCCTTGCAGTAAAATTCAAATTTGGATTATGTGACATTTTGTTTCATTTTTCCAGTTTTAAATACGAGTCTCCAGTTTTATAAAGTATGTTCACTTTTATTGGAAAAGCAGAGGGTAATTTAAAGGAGGCACCTCCCTGTAGGTGTGAAGGGCAAGTGTTCCGCCGTCTTTCCTTCTTGCTTAAGTCGACATTGTAATGATATGATTGGAATTTTGTCGTAAGAAACCTGGATACATCGGGCATGGGTAATAGCCTATTGGTTTTAAAAGTGTGAACCGTCTCTGTTATTTAGCAATAAGTGATGTGAAATCTGCCGCTTGTCTTCTGCGTGAAGACGAGTGAGACCCTTTGGCTGAATCCCCTGGAACGCAAGCTCGGGTTCCGCTTCTGCCCGAGTTTGGGATCGAGTTGGGGCGGAGAGAGAGAACAGTGATCCTAAAGCAAGCGAACAAGTCGCAGTGGGGCTCAGCCAGGCCACAATGCACGGCACAGGCTGCCCGCCTGCTGAAAGGGCTGTTTAACCCGTTGTGATTAGAGGGAGACAACTCACCGCCTAAGATTCTAGGACTTTGTCGAGTGTGTGTAGGCCATCTGAGTTTTTAGCGAAATGCATGTATATATTTTTTCTCTGTATCTGATGTGTCCTGAGATGTAACTTATTAAAATGTGTTTTGTACGTGCCTCCTCTCTCCGTGGGTCAGTGTGATAAAGTGTGTTTAGGGTGATTGCGTGCTTCACAAACTGCCTCTGCTAAAGGCAGGTACACATTAAAAATCAGCAATATTATCAGTTATTAATAAGCACGTTTACACAGCCCTCTCGGCAATGACGTGGAGTGGACATGAGCCACCCGGGAAAATCGTCTTGTATTCTAAAATGAAAGGCAGCATCTTGGGGACCCAGCACCCCAAACCTGACCACGTGAGAAGGGCTGAATTCCTGCAGACAGGCAGCGAGCACAGCAACGGCCCTGGATGAGAGTGGTCAGGGTGCTGCCCTTCTGAGCGGGAGCTGGTCAGCTGCCCCGGGAGCAGGTGTCTGGAATCACAGAGTCCCAAGGCGATGCAGGCTCACCCCCAGTGCCCTGGCCTCTCAGATGCCTGGGGCTGGCCCGGCATCTGCTCCACAATCGTGAACAGCCGATGCTTCCGTCACCTGCTCTCTGTCCCGCCCCCTTTCCCAGCTCTCTGCTCCCAGGGATCCACATTCCTGGCCCCAGTGTTCCCCTTGTGGCCTCTGGACCTGGGCTGGTCTTTCTTGGACATGCCCGTGTACTTGACCTCTGGTAGAAGCGCTCACTTTTCCAAGAAGGCCATGGTCTTACTACCTTCCAGACCCCGATGTGCACCAACCTTGGGCTCCAGGCCCAGGAACAGGGGTCAGATCCAGGGCCTTAAAGAAAGTAAGAAGACTCCAGGGACAGCAGGAGTCCTCTGTCATCGTGGCTGGGTTGGGTGCTCAACTCAATTTTTCCCAGTCAGGGAAAAATAACAAGAAATTACACAGAAATGCTCACAGCGAGTCCTACTCATAGGCCACTAACATGGGCCTGAAAGATCAGAAAGATTTTAACATTTTGTTCGTGACTCTAAAAACAATACATATTTGGAGTGTATTTGAAAAAGTGTCAAGTAAAATGAATAGAAATGACCCCTAATTGTATCATTCAGAGGTGACTGCTGATTTACTCCGTCTTTCAGGTTATGCGGATTTTCACAGAATCGAGTTCATGCTCAATTTTACTGTCCACGTATCTTCTGAAGGTTTGTAAAGCCAGTTAGTGTCTTTAGACCTTAATGAGAACAGCTCGTCCTCAACAGTTCACACTCACAGATGAGTGATTCAGTGGCATTCACAAAACCACAGTTAATCTTTAAAAAACACCCACTGGATGTGGTTTTCAAGTTGTTTACATACTTGCTTATGAATGTGAGCGAGTGCACCTCAGGTTCTGGGAATTCGCTTTATCTAAAAAAATGCAATCATGAAAACAGCCTGGGAGCAAGCCTACACCTGGAGGATCTGGGAAACTGCCCGAAGGGCTTCATTTTATCATCCGGGGCCATCTCCACTGGTCCTGCTCCCAGTTCCCACCTGGGCTCTTTCCCACACCAAGCAAAGCTCTACACCAGCCAGGTGTCCTACAGTTCACCTGAATACTGACACTGTCGACCTGGAGATGGCATCGGATCCCACGATATGCACAGGACTGCCCCCAACCCTTTCATGTTACCTACTAGATCACCTGTTTATTATAAAAGGACATAACTCAGGGGCAGCCAGATGGGAGAGATGCAGAGGGTAAGGTCTGTGGGAAGGCGCCCCACTCTCCCCATTCCCCACGGGTGCACTAACCTGGGTGCTCTCCCAGCCCCACCCATTGGGGTTTCCACGGAGGCTTCATTACACAGTCACATTTGATGAAATCACTGGCCATTGACTCAATCACCTGGAAGGTCAAGGGGTGGGACTGAAGGTCCGGACCCTCTGGTCACATGGCTGGGTCTGCACAAGGCCTACAGCATCCATCACACCTGTCCGGTCTCACCGAATGGATGGAGCCCGTGACCTGCTTTAAAGCCCTTTTCCTACGTTGAACCTGTAGGACATTAATTACCCTTTGTAGCCACACCCCCGAGGAGTGCGCTCTGGGTGCCCACCTCCTGCTGCCTTGTCAGTTTCCTCACTGGGTTCCTTTCCGCTGACCTGGTACCTCAATTCCTTCCCGATTCCCATGTTTCCCTGGCTCTGGGCTCCCTGCCTCAAAAGTGCTTTTGCGTCTGAGACGGCACCACGTGTGCTGCCTGCCTGCCGGGTACCTCACTTTGGCTCCTCTAAGACCCAGTGCGATGAATCACTGCTCTCAAAACCAGGTTATCATGAAGGCGTTAGTCAGTTCAGACCACAGTAAGCTGCAGTAACAAGCACACCCTAAACGTTCAATAGCTTAACACATGCGAGTTTATGTTCTCTTGGGAGGCGTCCTATGGAGAGGCAGCCCAGGCTTGCTGGCTGATTTCGTTCTGTGGTTCAGCATCTCGGTGGGTGGCTCCACGCTCGGTGTGATGGGGGAGGGCACCAGGTAAGACGTCCTGAGTGTCTCCTCTGCCTCAGCCCAGTGGTGACGCTCCTGCCAGGGTCGACTGACCAGAGTCCCCTGTCCCTGCCTGACTGCACAAGGCTGGGACGTGTACCGAGGCCCACAGATACTGAGTGAGCATTCAATGTCTGCCCCCCATCACACCCAACTAACGCTGAATGTGATTACTCTCCGAACACAAAGGGCCTTTTAAAATGCTGTCCAGCCATAAGGGCACTCCACCCACAGAAGAGGCCACTGGGACCTCGAGGCTGGGGGAGAGAGAGAGGAGGCCTTTGAGAGGAGAGAAGCAGGAGTGGGCCAGGGACGCTTTCCCTGAGAAGCCCGTAGAAAGGCTGGGCCCTGGCATGGCCCTGAGTGGCGGGGAGCCGGTCAGGCCTACTTGGGGCCTGGGCACTTGGAGGAGAAGCTGTGTGCAGCCTGCTTGAGAAGGGCCCACGTGGTCTGGTGGAGGAGACTCAATGGGCCAGGCGGCAAAGGGCTGAGGATGACCGGTCACCTTCTCCACCGCAGCACCGTAAAATCCCCAGATCCCTGTGTCCCGAGGGAGGGAGAGTCAGAACGACCCCTGGCCCTTAATTGCCTGCTGCTCTTTAGAAATGAGGAATTGGACTTAAGTTCATTTTTTAGATTAAATGTGAATTTCCTGTTGTTACCGATTGTGTGATCACAAATCCATACCTTCCATGGTCTAACACGTCTTTATTTTTAGCCACGAGTGCGCCTCTTGAGCGTCTTGATTTTGTATCTAGAGGAGGAACCTCAGCGCGGTTGGGCATCTGTGTTAGAGTTCGGAGCAGACCCCGGAGGGTGCGGTGCTGAGGGAGGAAGATGCTAAGGTGGTTTCCCCGTCATTCTGGAGAGCAGGGGCCCAACTTTCGGCACGTAACAATACTTGTGTAACTTCTAGCCACCAAGGGGAGCGGCAAAGCTAATCTTACAGCAATTCTACCTTCCAAGACCTGCCACTCACCCAGCTGGAGGCCTAAGAACAGGAAGCGAATTGCTACCTGGATCTCAAGTATTCACAGAACCCCGTACCATCCAGGTGGCCCCTCTTCTCCACCCTCCAAAGCAGCCGGCAGTGGGATGGAGAAACATTCCGTGTGACCCTGGCAGAGAAGGGCCATCCATCCCCGATCAGCACCCGTTTCTTCCCAGCTTGCTTCTACCCCCTCCCCTGACCGTTGGCATCAGGGACAGTCTTCTAGGCAGCCCGGTGCCCAGCTCCTGTTCGCCTGGCCCGTGACACTGTGGGACTTGAACCCAGCCGCTGTCCCCTGGCTGAGGGCGTTTGATGGGACACCCATTGCTTCCCAGCTTGCTTATGCCCCCCCCC